GTGACAACTAGTCCTTTTGTAGGAAAAAGGCACAATGACGCAAGAAAAAGGGAATTATGTATGGAATTAGTTTCCTGTAAAATGTGTATGTGACACACATCTCCAGCCATGTTCACTTCACAAGAGACTAAACCAGGAAATAATCTTTATGAATAATGGTAACATTTTGGGGGCACTTTTGGCACCATCTCTGTTGCTCTGGACACACATGAACCATAGTATAAATCTTGGGTTTGCCTCAGTCGCTATGCAGATGTTCTCAAATGTAAGGGCTGATTCTTGACATTTTGGGGGTTGAAGTAGATCCAATCCTAGGTCTCACAACCGGTTTAAGTTCTGGGTCTGAGTCGGCTCTTTTCTTGCCTCTCCTGGTCTCCGTCTTGGCGATTTCTTTCCAATTCACAGATTCGCAAAATAAAGCACTCTTCTAGATGATAAGATTTAGTCCTCCATGCCTCTCTGTTTACGCTTTCCAAAGACCCTTAGAAATATATTAAAAAAGCAAATTTAGTTGAAGTCCTCCTCAAAATGTCGGGCGCAACTTCTCTATGGTAATTTCATGTAGAGTAGGTCAGATTGGTATTTTGCAGGCCCTTCCTTCCGCATAAAACTCACTTCCGGTCCGGCACCTTTAAAAGTTCCACTGTCTTCCTTTCGCTAATGCCCGTCTAGGAATTCAACTTCCTGGATGTTTCACACGGACCTCTTTCTTTGTGACACCAGCCTGCTCTTCCCACGCTATTGTTCGTGAGTTTCGATTTTACAGTTGCGCACACGGCTCCATCTTCACCACAGGAATGTTAAACAATAAGCGTTTTTACAGTTTTTAAAGGCTTCAATCAACTTTTTTCTCTCCGGAATCGGATTTCTGGGATTTACTATTCATTTTCCGCTCAACCGCTTAATTCAAATTGACTCCAAACTCAGTTCAGGTAAGCGGCACGTTTTTGTTATCTAGCACGTTCAAAACGGGTTTCGCATTGTTTCTTTTAACTCACAGTTGTTGTCCTTCTTCAAAGAGGTCGGCTGACGAAGAATTTATGCCGGTAATCCGGCTCGATCGGCCACTATAGAGTTGCTTGGCACTTGCCTTCTTCGTGGGAGGAGGTCAAAGCCCAATTCAGCTTCTTCCGAAGCTGGATTACGCCAACCTCACACTCCCTCTAGGGCGCTGCTGCCTGCTTGTCCCCCCCCCCTCGCTGGGGAGTGATGCGTTGGGCTGTGTATTGCCCAAACTGTCGAAAGTGGCCGTCGCTCGCTTCGCACGATCGCGAAACGCTTCAGTCCTCCATCTTAGCCAGACCGGAAGCCGTTTCCACTAGGTTCTAAGCTTCCAGTTTCAGTCCAAATACAATAAATAATAAATAGCTCATTCTATTCTAAAAAGAAATCAGGAATTTTAAACGTAACAAAAACCTAAACGTGGGCACATACTTTAAAAAAATCACTGGTAAAATATTCATTAGAGTAGCGGTTTTCAAGCTTTTAAGAAGTGGCCCTTGGAAACTTTTTAGGGGTTCTTGAATGAGAAGATTAGTAATGGGGGGCAGCCCTCCCCTAAAGATAGTTAGCTCACCACTACTTACCTTTTCCTGCAATGCCCATTCACAGGGTAATGTTGGCTGTGCTCTACAGATGTGCTTACAGTTTACATGAACCAACAGTACGGACCTACAAATCTGGCCATTGTGCTACATGAACTCAATATGAACCCCAGAACACTTTCCAAAATATTCTATTTCATACAGGGTTTCTAGTGCAGGAATGTAGGGATTCCTCATCAAACAAACTAATGGGGAAATGGTTCTCCACTGCTAGTAAACATTCAAGTCATCCAGTCAAAGAAAACATATCTGGTCTATAACAAAAGATGAATTTAGCAGTGATTTTTTTCGACAAAACATAAGTATTTAAATAGAAGAACTGCCATTAAAATGCAAAACAATTCAAACTCATGTTAAAAGTGCTATGGACTGTTAATCTCTAATTGCCTCTATCTAGCATAGTGAAAAGTTCCCAGTACCTTTACAACAATATAAATGGTCTGGGTATCACACCCCTCATTTGCCTTGTCTTAAATTTTGCTTTATGTGCAAAACAACTGAAAAAGAGAATACCAGAGTGTAAGAGAAGAGAGAGCATGAGGACTCTTACAAAGAAACCTACCTGGGACTGTCAAGGTCATACACAACTCTGTCTATAATATCATTAGGATGAATTAGCCTTTCAATATCCTGGGCAATTTTTGTCCTATAAAAAACAGAGAGGGCTTTCATGTAATGTTTCACAATTGTTGTCTAGAAAGGTGTGGTGCCACCTACTGAATCTAAACTACAAGAAAAGAAAAAGGAATTTGAAGGGAGGCATACAATCCTCCTAAAAATTTATGCCCCCATTAGTGCATAATATGGACAAGAATCTGCCTGTACACAAGGCACCAAGGCTTAGAAATTCAAAGTTTGATTTCCTTGTTAAACATTTCTTTTCCTTTCATTATGTCTAGTTTTAGTGACTTTGTATTAGTGTAATTCATAATTCAATCATTATTAGTAGTTAAATCTGATTAAGATTAGAGAACAATTTATATCAGCAATTCATGCAATTACAACTGTAGCTAAAGTTTTAAAAGATTCAGAGATTATATTGTGCAGTGACTGGGTTAGCGTGCAAGCCTTTCACCTCTGGAAACCTCTAGTAAAACATGACGAGGTTACAAATAAGAAATAGGCATTTAATGCAATATGTATTTGCTACATGTTTAGCACTTCTGTATCAGAAACTGTGTGTCCTTCATGCATGCCAGGTTTTGGCCAATATATTTATTTTGCTAGAAGTAGTACTGCAGAATTTTTGGACTAGACACCAAAATGCAGAAACTCATGCATGTCTAGTTTACAAATTCCCACAGCATATACATGTGTCAAATAAATATGATCGACATTACATTAATCACATTACATGCATACCAAGTATACACAGTTTACTACCCAAATTGCTCTGGGAATCATACCAGTGTCTGAAAACATTTGCTAAGTATGAAGCTGAAACTTTAACACATTAAAAATCCAGCTTTGAAAAGCATATAACATCTTATAAAGGGACATAACAATCATTCTTGATATAAGTAAGATCTTGTTAAATGTCAGGCTCCCAAAATGTGTTTATAATCAGAGGTACTCTCAAGTAAATGTTGCTAAAAATCAATAATTTCCAAATCCAATAGTTTGCTGTGTTAGCCTGTTGTAGCAAAAGTATTAAAGAATTTAAATCACTTATTATTAGATATATTTACATAGGCTAGATTATATTTCATCAGATGTATGTGTCTGGACTACAAAATATATAAATAGTTTAGAAGTACTAACCATAAAGATCACCATGTGGCTGATGAAATTTATTTATAAGTCATTTGTCAGATTTATAGCCAGCCAATTCAGCTACGAAGTATTTGTATTTGAATATCCTTGTTAAAAGGGCCCACTTTAACACAACGAATAACGCACAACCACTAGAAATTTCAGGGTATACCGTTATGAAAAGGTCTTATTTACCCCATTAAATCTAATTAGCTCATATTAGCCTTAGGACAAGCTTGAAATTTAGAATTTCAAAACTATTTTGAATGTTTGAAATTGTTCAGGAAATAGGAGGTGTGCTTGAGTCAGTTCTTCTAAATTTAAAAATAAGAACTGTACTACTCAGACGAGTAGGGCTGCCAAACCGCGGCGGGGGATCCGTGCGTCGTCACAGGATTGCTGCCGTGGGGGACAGCGATCCGCGTTGCACCGGCGTCGCCAGGATGTGATGCTACGCATCGCTCTGGCAACGGGGCTGTTTGGAGTCCCGTTGCCAGGGCAACGCGTAGCGTCACATCCTGGCGATGCCGGTGCAACACGGATCGCTGTCCCCCTGCGGCAGCGATCCTGCGACGACGCACGGATCCCCCGCCGCGGTTTGGCAGCCCTACAGAAGAGTGATGAGCCCCCCACCACATGTCAGCACAAAGGATACCTGTGATGGGATACTACTGTTCATGCAAGCACTTTCATCTCAGTAAGGTACAGTCCACCTGTATTATTAGGCTACAGCAAATGTTAGATTGCTTTTATTACCACAAAAGATGGAACCAGAAATGACAACTCAAAAGCAAGTTAAATATTTACCACATCATAGCATTTACATGTGATGTGCAATGAGAAAATGTTGGAACCTCTGGTTTTATTTATCTTTCCATGAGATTAGAAGGCATCATTTGGGCTGTGGAACGGCTGGAGATTCTATGCACTACAATGTTGGAAGTTTAGTAATAACTCTCAAAGTAAAGCATGTGTTTTTGACTTCAGGAAAGGACAGAGGTTGTGACAGAGGTAAGGGAAACTGAGACCTAATGGTTGAATGAAGTTGGTTGGGATTTTTGCCCCATCAATTTGAATACAAGGCTCAAGGAAACTGCGCACACCCATTCACTACCAGTTATTGCCCCCAGAGTTCAAGAGACACTGATGTTATGAAGGAGAAATATCCTGTATTTCTTTCACATACATCAGAGTTCGCATGTGCTTGGCAGCCATTCTCTTCTTCCTTGTGGAAGAAAAGGAATAAAATTTGAGATTACATATTAATATTACCTATGAATTCTAATACCCCATTCTTTTGATGAGAAATTTGTGAATTATACAGTTCTTCTGAGTATTCAAAGCAATGTATATACACTCTATAATTTGTACAACATTCCTGTGATTAGGTTTCTATCCTATATTATCAGAAGGAAGGACTAAGAAATAATAGATTGTCTGGCCACAGCATGACAGAGGAGACATTTCAAATGGGGCCTCTCAGCTCAATAAACTATTTCCTATTTTCACATTATAGGTAACAAAGTTACTAGTATCACTGATCTATTTCTAAATAGGCATCATTATTTAAAGGTGAAGTTCTCTAATTTTTCAGAGGAAAAAAAGAATTCCAAAATCAAGATTATTCAGCAATATTAGCTCATATCTACAGCCACAAATATTTGACAGAACAGTCAATGTTTTAAGATTAATCCTTACCTTTTGACTAACAAAAATGCAGTAAGCTATAGCTTTAATTTTAACACAAAACATCAGAAACAAACTCACCGTTGAACACCATACGGCCTTTCAAGAATGGGCTCTTTAAATGGCGGTGGCAAGTGTCCAAAATAGTCAGGATAAGCCACTTCTGAATATTCAGGAACAGACTTTGTATTTTTCACTATCTCAATATAAAGTTCTGGGTCATGGAGTTGTAATAGATCAGGCACATCAAGCATCACTTGCTCTCCCAAAGAAACTGAGCAAGGTACTTCCTCCTCTTCAGGATCAGCACCAGAACAGCACAGCTTTCCCAGCTGAACAGACCGTCCCTCAAACAAAACACTTCCACAGGATGAAACATGTTGTAAGGGTTTACTACAGGTAACTTCACTACAGCTAGTTTTACACTCTTTTTGGGTTGTTGCTCTTGAACTGTAAGACTGTTCATTTTTGGGAGTGTTCTGCAAAGTAATTCTGTCCAAGCCTTTGACTATTTCATGGTTTAGGCACTGGCACGATGAATGTAATTTCAAATGATCACCTTGATGCTGTAAACTATTGTCTGTGTTGCTATTTTTCTTTACCAGACCCAAAGAGATGGGTCTTTTATTGTAGTCCTCCATTTGCAAAGGCTGATTCCCCTTCACAGGAATTTCTATGATATGATTTGTGGGAGACTGTTCATCACCAGCGGTAGGAACAATAATAGGTCCTCCTAGTGATACATCAGTTGAAAAAGGCTTTGGTTCTTTGGAAACTAAATCGTATTCCTTAATATTAAAAAGAAAAGGGAAAAGAGGAATAGTTAAACATTTAATTTATATACTGCATAAAGAAAACCAAAATGATCAGTCCCTCTCCATAGGGCTTACACTGTTTTGAGCAGGGAAAGTGGCTTAACGAATTAGAAGAGAAGCTGCTTTGAGGCCGAAGGAATACAGACTGGGTGAAAGAAGGAGGAATGGGAGCCAACAGCAGGTGGGCATTTTGGATGAAACAGAAGAAAGAGAAAATATAAGAATATAGAGATGCAGTCTGAGATAAGGAACTTAACTAGAAATTGAAAGCACAAAACCAGCCTTGCTTTGTCAAGTTCAGCACAACAGCAGCACAACAAACAGCCGGATGCTGTTTGAAGATCACAAATATGGGTGAAGGCAGTATGAATCTCCTGTCTGTCCAAACATCTTTCATTCAGAAACATCACCTAAATGGAACCCTCATCTATGTTTAACAGCAATCATAAATCTGCTTAATTACTTTAAAAAATTCTCCCTCTGAGGTGGAAGACATCTTGCTGGGTGATTCCCACCATACAATCAGGGAGGCAGGAACATTTTTTTTCAACTTCCTGTCTCTCGCCTGTGGAAGTCGCCCTGTTCAGTTCTTTTCCTGCCTCAACAGGGAGAGAAGCTTAGATCAGGCTTTGCCTTTATTTAATCTTTAAAACTCTAAATTCCTTATTCAACCTCATATACTATCTTTACTATCTTCTATATACTTCTTGTAATTCTTTCACTGTTTTTCCCTATATTCTAACCCTTTTTGGAGAAGAACAACAATGTTATAGATAGAGGCTGTCTTCAACAGCCGCAGCCATTTTAGGAGACAGCGAGGGCTTTCTTCTGCTGAACTACCTCCTTATTGCTGGTGCTGGATGGGGCACAAGGGGAGACAGCATGTCCTTATTCAGACTTGCCTAGGTTACCCTAGCAAGATTGCCTGAGGGCACAAGAGGAACCAGCACGACCTATAGCAGGCTTGCCTAGGCTACCCCAAAGTGAGTGCCTTAATCTGAGCACAACAAAAACCGTGCCAAAAAACAACAACTTTTACAACCGGCTGCAGGAGACCCGGGCAATCAATCTGCAAGGCTGCAGGGAGACTCCTGTTCCACCTGCAGGCCTTGAAAAACTCGCAAGGACTGGCTAATAGAGAAAGGAATCTCTATGGGACTCAGACAGCATGCCAGATTTTCAGCGTTCCGGTAATGTATGCAAACCCAGGCTGTTCTCCTTACCTTCTGATTTCCTTCACTCTCTTTAGAGTTCCCCCCACTCCATAAACCATGTAAGCAACATAGCTTCTAAAGAGCGCCATCTAAACAACTACTCAGTGCACTAAGTTGCAGTGGCTGTTGTATGCAATGCCAACAGTGGATCTCCAGGTCTACTCATGAGTAAGACACATCGATCAAGATCACCAATTCTGGCAAGGTAGAGATGGAAGACACACATCCCACCCCGGCTCCTTCTCCTGCCCCCTCCCTTCCTGCAGGCAGGGGATTTGGGCAATGCAGCTTCTTCCACAGGGAAACCTAGCTGGCCCCTAAAGCATCTAGGAAGGAAACTTGTGTGTGTGTGTATGTGAGAAAGAGAGAGAGAGATCACTCTTATATGGCACACGAAAGCTCGTACCTTGAATAAACCTTTGTTGGTCTTAAAGGTGCCATTTTAATTTACTGTTGACTTGGTATTACCTGCCCTGAGCCCTATTATGCAGGGAAGGGCAGGCTATAAATTGAATATATAAATAGAAATTCATGAACAGTCCATAATCCTGAGTACTTATACCCCTCTCTAAGACCATGGCAGCATTAGAGCTGCAGGAGGTTCCCTATAAAGAACAGTCAGGCCCTCCTAATTCTCAGTCCAATATTTGGTCAAGGGAATAAGAATTCTCCCTAGGTCTAGTGCAGCAGAGAGGGTTTCTCCTGTTCCATTAGTTTCTTTCAGAAAAATTTAAACACTGAATGAGCAAAACCTATGGCCAGCAAGCAATCACGTTTTACTAGAAATTGTATGTTTTACCATATTTTATACTTATTTTTACAGGTGCCACTAGTGGATGCTCCAGTAACAGCTTTGCAGTCATCTGAGCTTTTGTCAGAGGATGGTGAGGGCACTTTCCAGCTGTTGTCTGGTATAGGAATCTGTTCCAACTTATTTCAGGCAGCAGCCACTGCATGGTAGAGGGAGCCATTAGGGTTCTTACAGCTCACTATGCCGAATGCAACCTTTGGTCCCTTACCATCTTTCCAGAACTATGGCACCTGAGACAGCTGCCAGAAGAAGATTGTGACTCAGACCTGGACAACTGATGCCTAACCTGAATGGTCCAAGCTAGCTCGATCTTGTCAGGTCTCAGAACCTGAGGAGGCTCAGGACTGGTTTTCTCTTGAATGGGAGACCATCAAGGAAGTCCAGGGTTGCTATGCAATGGCACTGCAGGGGTCATTTGGGGGGGGGACGCGGGGGGACACCATCCCCCCGGGTGAGGTGCGGGAGGGCGGGGCCTGGAGCTCCCTGCTGGTGCCCGCTGGAGGTCGCCGCTGGCTGTGGGGAGGAGGCGGGGCGCGCTGCGTTGGGCGGTGTGGCATATGCTACACCGCCGCCAGAAGCAGCCCTGCCGTTCCGCGGCTTGCCTGCACCGCCGTGACCCGCCCAGGCCGCCGCCTCCTCCTCGCATCGCGGGAGATCCCCTGCCTCCACCTTAGGAATGGGAACCCCAGTGATGTCAGGGGGCGTGGCCTTATGACACACTTCCGGTGATGTCAGGGGGTGTGGCATATGCTAATGAGTTATGCTAATGAGTCCCCCTAGCTCTTTTTCTACGAAATGACCCCTGAATGGCAGGCAATATCAAACCACCTTTGCTCAACTCACTACATGCTAAGTCCATAGGTATGACCTATACTTGTTAAAATGTCAGACCATTTGGGGACACTCTCGACAAGACTTATATTGAAACCTGACATACTAGACCACTCTGACAAGAGGAGTTTTGGGAGTTATTTCTTTAGTTTCCACTGTGTCCTTCTGAGATTTCACAAAGATAGCAGAAGGATGAATCAGGGTTCTTCCAGACAACCCTTCAGAAAAGGTTCATTCAACAAATAATTATTAGCGGAAAACCAACCCGTGGCGATAAGCCATTCAAAGCATAACTTCAAACCCTTCTGGTGGTGGTGGGGACACATTTTCTATACTCCAGGACATGTAGTCCAACTCTCAGGCAGACAGTTGGTCCTTTCAAATAGTTACCAGAGGATACTCCATGGAGTTCCTCAAACCCCATTGGAACACCACATCCCCCCCCACACACACACAAGGGTCAGAAAAAGCTTGTAGAACTCTTGCTACTATACACCATTTCTTAACATTCAGGCCATAGAACCTGTCCCTCCCTTAACAGGGGAACAAGGAGATTTCCCCCTTCATAGTGAAGGAACAGAATTTGAAGGACAGTTTTAGTCTTAAAATACCTCAACAAGAGTACATTAAGGTATTTCAGAATTTCATCACATTAAGATATTTCACATTAAGGTATTTCAGAATGGAGTCTCTAGATCCATCACTGAGTCCTTTCAGCCTGAGGAGTATCTCACTTCAGTAGATCTTGTTGATCAGATCAAACCCTGTGGCCAAGGTGCACCAAGACACAGAAACAACTATATACTGTCTACAGAACTACAGATTCCTGGTCAATCTTCAGTTAAGTTCTCTAGCACCTACTAAGAAAGTACACCACCTAGGTGTCAGGATGATCTCAACTTGCTTACACAATAGACCACTACAGCAGCTTCCAAGACATTTCCAACTACAAGTTATGACCAAGGGGGACTCTTTCCATCAGGGCTCCCTTACAGTCTCCCTGGGAGGACAAGAACACTCAGGTAAGGAAACACTGCATCCCGGAGGTGAAGTAGATCTTTCTCAGTCTCCAGTCTGCCTGGTTGGGGACAACGCTAGAAGGCTCACCAGTACAGGGTCGGTGGTCTGGGAGCGAGGCAATTCCCCTGGAGCTTTGGATGATTTATCTGACCTTCTTTTGCCATCAGCCTACAGGTACTTGGTCAACATGTACTAATCCGACCAACAACATACAATGAGGGTCTAGATCTTCATCTACCACAAGGAAATGATCAAGATCATAATGTGGGTGGAGAAAAACCTGACATCACCAAACAAGCTTCAAGTGATTTGGTGCTCCACCATGTTTCTTCTTCTTCTAGCGATCAAGGCTTAACATCCCAGTGGCCAAGTGACCTATGTTTGCCTATCCCCCCCCCCCATCCCAGTTCCTTCAAAACTGGTATAGAAGATCAAGGACAAGAAGGCAGCAATCACAGTACTAGAACCATATTATCCTCAGTGACCATGATTCTCTGACCCTCAGGATAGGGAAAACCAGCTACTGCTAATGCTCCCAGTATCACAGGACATGCTGTTGCCATGCAAGTCTATCAATGTTTTTATGAACTGTATGGACTGTGCAAAGGGACTGTACAACATGGAGACCTGGGAATACCTGTTGAGACTGCACACCTGAAAGAGGGACACCTTCCTTTAGCGTTGCTGCTCCAGTGATGGTCCAGAGTCACCAGCCATCTCACCTGTTGTGAGATGAAGCAGTTCCATAAGCCTGTACAAAGCCTCAGATGACATGCCATGGAAAGGCACGAGGACAGAGAACTCCAAACTCCATTAGGAGTTTTTTCCAGCATATGTAGGCAACCCCTCCCCCCCTCCAGACCTGCAAACCTGCACGTAGCTCTGAGACTCTGGTAATAGTTGCTTAGCAACTAATCGCTCACCCATCAGCAGGCATTAAGAGACAACAGCCTTAACCTGATGACTCATCTTACCTACACCCAGGTGCCAGCTTACAGTCTAAGTTTCTAGATCTCAATATTGATCACTCCTTAGTTCCCCCTCCCCTCTTCCAGCCAGCCAATAGTATATTTTATGGGACGGACTAACAGGAGGTGTCATAGGGGGATGTGGCCAACTCAACCTCCCCCCCCCCACGTTATAAAAGATGCTGACCGACCACATGGTCTCTCTCTCTCTCTCTCCATGACCCCTATCGAAGCTTTAACCCTCTTGTCCAGCTTGCTATCCATATACCCTACCTCCATCTTTAAACTCTAGTCTGCAGCTAGAGTCCACGTGGTTCCCCATCTTCTATTTCTAAACCCCTCCATTCTTCCATTGGAACGGCTCAATCAATGAGGACAGGTAAATATCACCCAACCAACGGATGTCCTGCTAATGCAAAAGTGTTTATGATCTATCTTTATTTCTGAGAATCGGTATATATGTGTGTGTGCTTTCGTATTGTTTGAATGATATATATCCTCCAGTAAAAAGACATTATATTATACTGAATACAGTCTCTGTGTCTGTTCTGGTACTTACAGCAAAGGTGGGACTTCTGTATAAATTGGTGTGAACCCTAATTTGCCTATTGCCAATTAATAATCATAACTTCCCCTAGATTAATTGAGAATTCAAGGCAAATTGGCTAACAATGCTTCAACAAGGTCCTGTGTGGCTTCCATATTCAGGATGGCTGTGTTTAACTGCTTGGAGATCGAGTGGGGTGACCTTTATGTCTAGGCTTTTCTACAAAATGCAATGGATATCCTGCTAGATTAGTTTACAATACTTCACGGAGGACTCCCATCAGGCAGAAGTAGAAAAGGTATCGACCTCCTGAAGATTAAGACTAAATAGGTGCTATCCTTCCTATAAGAGGGACATGATGGGCTCAAGGATTCTTCCTTTACAATGTAAAGTAACAACTCTGACAACGGTGTTACCTTTGTTCCAAGGTCTGAGCCTATCTAGACACCTTCCAGGTGTGCTTCTCTAAATCAGCCACCACAAAGATGTAGGTTTCTAATGCAGAAATTGTGTACCACACTCTCGGTTTCACCAGACACTATTTGATCCTGTTGAAGAAATTCCACTTAAATGGCTGAGGATAAAAATCTTATTTTTCTAATAGCAGGCACATCATGTAGGAGGGCTTCTGTTCTAGGCGCTTGTTCAGTGAAGCCTGAACTATGAGTTTTCCATAGAGACAAAAGGATCATGAAGACAGATACTGCCTTTACACCGAAGACAAATTTGACCTTCCACAAGTCCCAGAAAATTTTATCTTCCTCATTTCACCCAAATCCTATACATCTGAAGGAGAACCTGCAGCAAGTCTTGGAAGTAAGACATATGCTTAAAATCGATTCCGTATTTATCTTCATCTCTCCACTGAATGAAGAAAGGAGGATGTCAATTTGGACATCGGCAGTACCTGAAGCTTACAAAGCTCAGTATTTGAAATACCATCTGGAATCACTGCACACTCAGTTCGAAGTGCCACAACCAACACAGCCCTAACCAAACACACCACAGTCAGAGATGGTGAAAACATGGTCATCAGTATCCACCTGTGTAGGATACACTACGGCAGGGGTCATTTCGTAGAAAAAGAGCTAGGGGAACTCATTAGCATAACTCATTAGCATATGCCACACCCCCTGACATCACCGGAAGTGTGTCATAAGGCCACACCTCCTGATATCACCAGAAATGTGTCATAAGGCCACACACCCCGCTCCCAACGGTCCCGGCCGCCGGTGCCGGCCTTGCAGCTCCACTGCCGAGCCCCATGAGGGGCCCGGCGGTGGACCTGCAAGGCCGGTGGGAGTGCAAGGAAGCCCCGTGAAGGCCCTCCCTG